TGATTTTTGAATGTAGTCCAAGGTACTGCCCGGACTAGAAAGAGTCATAATTAGGAATGTCACTTCCCATATTTGGCTCGCGAATATTTTCACGTATCAATATGGGTTTTTTTTTGTTGCTGGAATATGACGAATGGGCAATTTTTCGCCTCATAAACACCGTGCCATGCATCACAGAGCTCTGAGGTTGGTGTTTTAGGGTCCACATGCCATGGTCATCTGTCACACAATGAAAAAGCTTTTCCATTTGTTTACGGACTTAAACAGTTTCCTTTTTAAGATTATAATGGTACTTTTCCACTTAGATTAAGCGTCCTTTTGGCATGTTTTAAGCAATGGCTTTCTACCTGTACCAACAGAGGCTAGAGCGTCAGGCTCTCACGTGGAGCGTTGTAAATTAAATCCACGGCACAAGCACCAACTGTGTCAAGTCAGCAGGGAGCGAACTCTGGACGAACTTGCCCCTGCCGTGGAAAAGTAGAATTTCCACCACTCGCCAGTCAGTCGCCTCCATGTCACTCTTCCATCGCTACTTGCCCTGGTTCCTGTTCTTGTGAACTTCGCTTAATGTAACCTCCACCCATGTGGAGGCCTCTGTCGACCAAATGGGACTGCATCCACACTCTGTGCTCAACGACCACACAGCAGCTCAAAATCACTGCAGCTCTTCCTGCTCCAGTGTGGAATGCCTTCCCGTCGTCTCTTTTCCCCCAAGCTCCCAACCAACCGATTTTTTTTAATTCAAGAAACGTGTAAACGCTTTATCTATCACAGGGATGACGAGTGCCGTTAGTTTCTGGCCTCTTGCTGCTGCTGCTGCTGCTGCAGGCGCTTTGGGCCTGTGCTCAGAAACTGTGCTGAAGAAATAACAGGGGGGAGAGGGAGATGAGCACGATCGTCTCTTGGCCGTGGAAACGAGTGAAATGGGTTTGCTTGTTTCTTCAGCTACAAGTTTCCAAGACTCTGTGATTGTTTGTGAACTAAAAATGGGGCTCTCAGTGTGGTTCTCTGTGGAATATTCGGGACAGGTGAAATTATGGATGTGCTCGCAAAAGGAAATGGAATTTGGCACCGTCATAATAGTGCACAGTTTGACCAGTGGTCGAGTGCCAAACTACGCCGCGCTTGCGTTTAACGTCCTGCGCGGCGGCTTCGTGTCGGATTCTTGGTGGAAGAGGCTTCGGCCTGAGGAGCCCAGCCTCAACTGCTCCGTTTCTTCTTTCAAACATTTCCCTGCTGCTCCTGCCGCTGCTGCTGCTGCTCATAACACACTTTGAACGTTTCGGAACTTTGGGCTTTTTCGGTCCTTGGCCCTCAGATTTGGGACACCCTCTGCCTGAAGAACTGTGGCTGGTGGCTGTTGATTCTCACATTCAGAAAGAAGCTACAAACTTGCTTATTTCCTACGGCATGTTAGATCAACTATGGGTATTTTACTCTCTGTACGACACTCTTGAACCCTTTGTTGGGTCTGCTGCGCCTTATGGAAACGTAAACAATGCCTGTCGATATTTCACTGCACATTTAGCACGCATCGTGCACTGGTAAGCTGTGGGTGCACAGGGATTCAGTGGAAAGAAGTGTATCCTCTTCTTCTTTATATTTAAAAGGGAAATTTGTGAATATGTGTGTCTGTTCGAAATGTTTAGCATACTTCCCAACATGCAACAAACTTAAAATTTGGCATATGCGTAGCTTCCAGACTGTACCCAATGCAAAAAGTATAAAATAGACTTTTGTATTTTGGGGGGGGGGGGGGGGCGGGGGGGCGCAATAATGGATATATTTTGCACGGCAAGTGAACGGTGACGTCACATCTGTGATGTCATCCGCATGCGGCAGCGTCACGCAGTGTGCCTGTTGACGTCACGCATCCACCCCCCAACCCTCCGCGTAGGCCGTGTATTAATCGAAGACAAGAATCCAAGTCTCGGGCGAAGCCGGGTAGTAAAGCTAGTCTCAGAATAACCGGAGAAGGGGAAGCACTGCAAGCAAACGCATGGGTCCTGAACTTTGTCTTCTTTTGTACGGCCGATATAGATGCAGAGCAACGACTACAATCTCACATTCAGGTGGTCTAGCCAGACAACCGCGGTGGTCAGGAGCAGTAGCGGAGTCTATCGCTGCGATGTCTCCTTCGTATTTGTGGATCGGGGAATTGCGTCGGTATACATTGTACGGTCTGTTCTGGATGACCACAGTCGTTCACTCCTGGAAAGTTTATAATTTTCCACTTGTGCATCAGGTATCCGCATCTACTGCCATGGTTTGTGCAGGGGATGCGGTTTAGGGTGGACCATGAGCTTCGTGGAAGATCAAACCCATGGATCTTCTGCGTTGGGTCTCTCACAACAAGGTTTTTGTTATTTATTTTTTTACTCCATTCAGCTCTCCAAGCTTCATTGGGTTTGAACTTGCATTGTTGACGGTTAAGCGTGTGGGTGCTGAGCGGTGTATTATTACTACTATTATTATTATCAGTGCACAAATGGAGAAAGATATTTTCCAAGACAGCGACCACGCCTCAAAAAGAGGACGATCCAGGAAAAACCAGGAAAGGTGGCAACCCTCCTTTGCGAGATTCCTAGCCTCGCTAAACTATTTAACTTTTAATATTTTACAAGGTAAGACCCACTGCGTTATGTAGCTGTTTTTGAGAAGTAACCTGGCTATCACAAATGATAGCTCAACGAAGGAGCTTATCGCGAGGAAATTTATAGAAGCCAAATGCTCGAAACGCACGATGTTGATTCTATATTTGGAGGGTGAAACCGGAGGGCCCGAAGAAAAATCCACCCCACCGCGGGGAGAGACATCGCGAACTCAAAATGCACAGATGTCAGGGTCGGCATCGAACCCACGACCTCCTGTATAGCAGGCGAGGTAGTTAACACCTCACCACCGTGGCGCACTAATCGAGTATCTAGAGGGGAACATTTTGACACTGACGACAACTTACTTAGCACTCGGTCCCTTCCTCCGCAGCGAAGACATCCGCCTGCCAAGTGGACGCGCGCTGCGCTGCGTGTTGTTGTTGTTGTTGTTATTGGACAGCGCTGAGCTGTGCATTGATGCACTTGCCCACCAAACGTTTTTGGAAAATCCCATTCAGGCCACGGTATGGGAAAAGGATCCCCCGGCCGCTGATATCGGGCATTAAAAAAAATTCACCGTGTAACAAATAAAGTTTCCTCCATAGTTCTTGTACGTTAGATCACCTTTCAAAACACATTTCCTGACATAATAACAACGACTACTATTTTCTATTTTACCAGGTAATGCCCACTTAGCTTTATAGCTCTTGTTCAGAATCGACCTGGCCACAAATGATAACTCAACGAAGTGGCTTATCACGTGGAAATGAATAGCAGCCAAATACTCTAAACGCTTGTCAATTCCCCTCCACATGAAGCAAGCACCCTCCCTGTCGAGGTTCTGCTGCTCCCTCAAGACCCCCAAAGGCCTTTTCTCCCTGGCCCACCCTTCTTCCCTCCATCCCGAGGTACCCCCGTAATTCCCGTACCCACTAAACCTCCCTGCCCATACCCCTTCCATATTCAACATATAAACTTTATCTACCCTCATATTAACACTCACAACCCTTGTGAAGCGCTTTGGATAAAAGCGCTATGTAATTTAAAAGGTAATATTATAAACGTGGAGAAAATTCAACGCGACCACGGGGAGAACCCAGGGGCCCAGGCGTCTGGCCACGATGAGGGGGGGGGGGGGGGGAGTCACAAAATTGGACAGGGGGGCCCCATTTCACGCGGTTGCAAGATGTTAACTACCTCGCCTGGTATACAGGAGGGTGTGGGTTCGATCCTGACCTTGATGCCTGTATATTTTGAGTTTGTGTGTCTTTCTCCCCATGGTCACGTGCATTTGTATTCGGGTCCTCCGGTTTTACCCTCCACATTTAGAATCAACATCACGTGTTTAGAGTATTTGGCTGCTATGAATGTCAACACGATAAGCCGTTGGGTTATCATTTGTGATGTCATATCGCGTCTGAAAATGAGCTACATAGCTTGGTGAGCCTTACCAGGTGCAATAAAAAATATTTAGTTCATAAAACAGGAGGTGTTAAGATGTTCAAACACTAAATAGATACCTTTTGCAAAGCATCAAGTCTGCATCAACCACACTCAGTACTTGTGGTGAACATGCAAACAAACATTTTCTGATAATACATGCATTGTCTTTGATACTGATTGGTCGACACCAGAGAGGGCCTTTGTATGGCCTTGTCTCACCGGTGTCAGACCAGAGAGCACCAAAAGTCAAAGACAATGCAAGTATCAGAACTTTTATAACTCGGGTTGAGCAGTAATATCTAAGGGACCTTTTTTTTTCCGGAATCAAATTATGAAACGTAAGAATGTTTTTTGCCCTTTCTGGCAGCTCCCCCAAGCTCCACCTGCAACCAACTGCAGAGCCCAGCTGGGTTGGACCACATAGCCCAGCTGGGCTGGAATTTGCAGTGATGTAAAGGTGCATCGGCTAACGCGCCCACGAGGCTTGTAACAAGGTATCGATTTACGGATAAATATATATATATAAAATCTTGTACGTACTCACCATACATGCTTCACGTGGTCGGTTTATGTAAGGGGTGATTCTGATTTATGCTAATTCGTTACAAATTATATGTATGATGCAAATTATATGTCTGTTTAGGTTGATGGCTCATATGAGATTGTACGAACGGGAGATGGAATAAACAGGGAATCATAGAAACGAGGCCAAATAATCAATTCTTGAATGGGATCGCCACCCCGAATCCGGACAATTCGTTGAAATGGTGGGGGAGGGGTGAGGTGCGAGAACTAATAAACGCGCATCTAAGGACGTGTGGATTTGTCAAGGTCACGGAGGGCATCACGGTCAACGCACCAACGCATCTCGCTGCGACGTTCGTCCCCTTGTCTCAAGCGTTGCGCAGTCACCACGGGGCCTCCAACGTCACCACCACCTGACCGACTTTGTTCCCCGCTTGGTCATCGACCGCTGTCCGCCTCCCCCAGGGGCGCCTCAGTCCCCTGCCCTGCCCCACCCTGCACACCCAAGACAAAGATCCCCCGTATAACCTGTAACAGACTATAGGGGCAAGTGCTGTTAGCAAGCACCTTCGAAGGCCAGAACGGCACGCGAGGGGGTGGGTGGGCAGCACCACGCTCGGCCGCCTTTGTCTCCCCATTGGCGATGTTTACACACCGCCACAGGTACTCATTTTAGGCTGAGTCGACCTAGGGAAGGCCCAGGACCTGTTCAGATATTCGTCACCGATTTTGGCCGTGAGCGGGAATCTAACTATGGTCGCCAGGTTCGTAGCGCAGCGTGCTAACCGCTCCACTACCGCTCCACAACAACCGCCATTCGCCACACAGTGGCGGTGACGTCACCACGACGCTTGTGCCAGGCCATGTGCACCTTGAGGCCACGTGAAGTGTCGAACGCCCGCTGGCAGGAGGTCACGGGGCAGACCCAAGTGCCACGGGATCGACTGACTGAGATGACTGGCAGATGGACCAGCTTTACCCCATACTATACTGTGCCAACTTGCCGCATTTTATCCGTCCGGCGCTCCGCTCGTTGTTGTGAGCTTCGCTCCTCTGCCCTCCCTTGTTGCTGGAGGGCGACTGACTCCAATTGCCCAGTGGCAGCGTCCTTCACAAGCCTCCTCCATAGAGGCCGATCCTGACACCGCCGGTACCAGCCGTTGGCAAGTGCACTCAGCTGCACATCCTCGCGGGCCGCATCAGTCCATCTCTCCTCCAGCCCACGTCCTGCCCCCCCAACCTTTCCCCACCCTGCACACCGACGCAGCAGCGCCGCACCCTCTGCAGCCTCCCACCCAGTGACATCCGCAACTCCTCGTGTTCGAATTTTTAATCTTGAACTTCTAAGTTCCCATCGTATCCTGCGTTGACGTCCATGGCATCCTCCACGTGCATCTTTATTTAAAGGCGAGCCCGTTGTGGTCCCGCCTCACCCCCCGAGGTATTGCCAGGGTGTGGCTCCCTGGATACGGACGAGACTCTCCCTTCACAGCCATTCCCCCTGCTCTGCAGTACAACTTGCTTACTCTTACAAAGCTGATTTTGCGTCTCTTACACAAAAAAAAAACCTGGCCCGGTGACGCGAGACATATCCTGACCTCCTCTCTCAAAAGCTCCCTTAAATTATCCACACTTTGGAAAGCTCAGCATCCAACTTTGGATATATTTACGTTCAAATGGTTTCATATTCGTTCGAAAGGGGGCCTCGCCGTTTGTCTCCAACGCATCCGAAATCTGCTGTGGCTGAATTATTTCCGGAAGGGTTCATGCGGGGGAAACAAAAAAACACATTTGTGAGTTTCCACCTGTGTTTGTGTCTCGTTAAAACAACAACAAACAACACAGAATGTAGCTGGTATCGGTAAAAAAAAATCCCAGTGCTGAAAAATTACCTCCTTACTCAATCGATATTACGTATACTAAACTATGAGCTTTATTTATTTATTTTGCCCGGTAAGGCCCACTGAGCTATATAGCTTTTTTTGAGAAGCGACCTGGCTATCACAAATGATAGCTCAGAACGTGGCTTATTATGTGGAAATATATAGGAGTCAAATACTCCAAACGCACGTTTCTAAATGTGGGGAGAAACACCGGAGAAAATGCCAAGCGACCACAGGGAGAGAGACACTCAAACTCTACATTTCCAGGCGTCAGGGTAGGAATCGAACCCACGACCTCCTGTATACCGGGCGAGGTAGTTAACATCTCACCCCCTCCCTACTGCCAAAAACATAGCAGCAGGACCCTCTTGAAAAATACTCTTGAGACTCAATTAGACTTTTCCTGGACAAACGAGCGCAGGAGTGACTATAAAAAAAATGCCGAATGCGTCCTGTGGAATTGATCACCACGCCCTCCGTACACTCATCTCATACAGCCGCATCTGCCACTGAAACTCCACAGGAATGATCGCTGCTTACGAATCGCACGCAGCAAACACTTCACAATTCCGTGGCGCTCCACGTAGCCCAGCGCCACTCTTGGACCCCGTCCATCGTGACAATTGGGACACGGTGGAATGCAGTGTGAACGTGGCTGGAAGCGTCCTGAATAGACACTGAGGAAAGAGCGGGGCAGTCATTGGGCCCAAACAGGGCAAGATGGTAACTCAGAGATGAGTCATGCTCCCTTATCTTCCACACGCGTCCTCGATCAATCCACATCGTCTCGCACCTCCTGGCTCCCTCGGCTCTCTTCCCTCCTTGGCTTGTGCGCTTCGTGCCGGAGCCTGCGATCCACCGGGCACCCACGCTCCCCTTGGCGGCAGCATGAAGGCTGCTTTGGAGAGAGAGCAGCCAACATCAGTTCCTTCTGGCACCGTGAACGTGAACACCCCCCCCCCCCCCCACATGCCCCTCCGTCGCGTTCTCTGCGTCTTCACAGGCTCGAATTTGCCCGTGCGATGTCCAATTATGTTGCCCAGCAAGGAGCGAGCGACGTCGTAGAAAAGGTGAAGCGGCGATGGGGGGGGGGGCGGGCGGCCCTTGCGATGTCCTGCCCGTGAGGCTTCTGAAGGACAATTGTCTGATGCTGCGTTCGCACAGCCGCTTTGTAGCCCCGCTCACGAAACCAGGAAAGTGGTGCCCGTCCGGACGACTGCGGCAACCTACCGAGCCGAACTCGGGACGCGCGGCTCTCGTGCTTGGGCCACCAAATGTCAGGCTGGCCGCGCTCAGAAGCGGCCGCGACATCGCGGCGCAACCGGCCTACGAGGCGCTCCTTAGCAGCAGCAGCAGCAGCACCACGGTGGAAACTTACAACCGGTAATGCTCCGCCGTCTTGTTGGGGTGACGTAACCTGAGCCGAACAAACCTTCGACTGTGTTTATCCAAAAATACCATCCAGGGGCAAATATGGTCAGGTGGGGCCCCAATCTTTGATTTGTCTCGCACGGTCGCCACCCCAGAGGCTATTGTACATCGCGGCCTCCTCTTGCCGCACCACATCGTAAAATACGTGTTGTTGTTGTTGTTCTTCTTTTACACTGCTGTCATGGAGGTCGTCAAGGAGGCCCCAACTCGTAGCTTTGGCCACCAGGGGGAATGGGGGTGGAGGCTCAGGCACCCCCTGCCCCCACGCTAATTACGCTAGTTAAGTGTGTTACGTTAGTTACGCTAGTTAAACGTGTTACGTTAGTTACGCTAGTTAAGCTTGTTACGTTAGTTACGCTAGTTAAGCTTGTTACGTTAGTTCCGCTAGTTAAGCATGTTACGCTAATTACGCTAGTTAAGTATGTTACATTAGTTACGCTAGTTAAGCTTGTTACGTTAGTTCTGCAAGTTAAGCGTGTTATGTTAGTTACGCTAGTTAAGCTTGTTACGTTAGTTACGCCAGTTAAGCTTGTTACGTTAGTTACATTAGTTAAGCTTGTTACGTTAGTTCCGCTAGTTAAGCTTGTTACGTTAGTTACGCTAGTTAAGCGTGTCACGTTTGTTACGCTAGTTAAGCGTGTTACGTTTGTTATGCTAGTTAAGCTTGTTACGTTAGTTACGCTAGTTAAGCGTGTTACGTTAGTTACGCTAGGTAAGCGTGTTATACTAATTACGCTTGTTAAGCTTGTTATGTTAGTTACGCTAGTTAAGCATGTTACGTTAGTTACGTTAGTTAAGCTAGTTACGTTAGTTCCGCTAGTTAAGCGTGTTACACTAGTTACTCTAGTTAATCTTGTTACGTTAGTTCCGCTAGTTAAGCGTGTTACGTTAATTACGCTAGTTAAGCGTGTTACGTTAGTTACGCTAGTTAAGCGTGTTACGTTAGTTCCGCTAGTTAAGCTTGTTATGTTAGTTACGCTAGTTAAGCTTGTTATGTTAGATACGCTAGTTAAGCTTGTTACGTTAGTTATGCTAGTCATGCTTGTCACGTTAGTTACGCTAGCTGAGCTTGTTACTTTAGCTCCGCTAGTTAAGCGTGTTACGTTAGTTCCGCAAGTTAAGCTTGTTACGTTAGTTAAGCTAATTAAGCTTGTTACATTAGTTCCGCTAGTTAAACTTGTTACGTTAGTTACGCTAGTTACGCTTGTTAGGTTAGTTACGCTAGTTAAGCGTGTTACGTTAGTTACGCTAGTTAAGCTTGTTACGTTAGTTACGCTAGTTAAGCATGTTACTTTAGTTCCGCTAGTTAAGCTTGTTACGTTAGTACCGCTAGTTAAGGTTGCTACGTTAGTTCCGCTAGTTAAGCGTGTTACGTTAGATACGCTATTTAAGCTTGTTACGTTAGTTACGCTAGTTAAGCGTGTTACGTTAGTTACACTAGTTACGCTTGTCACGTTAGTTACGCTAGTTAAGCGTGTTACGTTAGTTACGCTAGTTAAGCTTGTTACGTTAGTTCTGCTAGTTAAGCGTGTTACGTTAGTTCCGCAAGTTAAACTTGTTACGTTAGTCTTGCTAGTTAAGTTTGTTACGTTAGTTACGCTAATTAAGCGTGTTACGTTAGTTACGCTAGTTAAGCTTGTTACGCTAGTTAAGCGTGTTACGTTAATTCCGCTAATTAAGCTTGTTACGCTAGTTCCGCTAGTTAAGCTTGTTACGCTTGTTCCGCTAGTTAAGCTTGTTACGTTAGTTACGCTAGTTAAGCTTGTTACGTTAGTTACGCTAGTTAAGCTTGTTACGCTTGTTCCGCTAGTTAAGCTTGTTACGTTAGTTCCGCTAATTAAGCTTGTTACGTTAGTTACGCTAGTTAAGCTTGTTATGCTTGTTCCGCTAGTTAAGCTTGTTACGTTAGTTACGCTAGTTAAGCTTGTTACGTTAGTTACGCCAGTTAAGCGTGTTACCTTAGTTCCGCTAGTTAAGCGTGTTACATTAGTCACGCTAGTTAAGCGTGTTACGTTAGTTACGCTAGTTAAGCGTGTTACGTTAGTTCCGCTAGTTAAGCGTGTTACATTAGTTACGCTAGTTAAGCTTGTTACGCTAGATCCACTAGTTGAGCGTGTTACGTTAGTTAAGCGTGTTACGTTAGTTCCACTAATAAAGCTTGTTACGCTAGTTCCGCTAGTTAAGCTTGTTACGTTAGTTACGCTAGTTAAGCTTGTTACGTTAGTTACGCTAGTTAAGCTTGTTACGTTAGTTACGCTAGTTAAGCGTGTTATGCTAGTTCCGCTCGTTAAGCTTGTTACGTTAGCTCCGCTAGTTAAGCTTGTTACGTTAGTTCCGCTAGTTAAGCGTGTTACGTTAGTTCCGCTAGTTAAACTTGTTACGTTAGTTCCGCTAGTTAAGTTTGTTACGTTAGTTCCGCTAGTTAAGCGTGCTACCTTTGTTCCGCTAGTTAAGCTTGTTACGCTAGTTCCGCTAGTTAATCTTGTTACGTTAGTTACGCTAGTTTAGCGTGTTACGTTAGTTACGCTAGTTAAGCGTGTTACGTTAGTTCCGCTAATTAAGCTTGTTCCGCTAGTTCCGCTAGTTAAGCTTGTTACGTTAGTTACGCTAGTTAAGCTTGTTACGCTAGTTCCGCTAGTTAAGCTTGTTACGTTAGTTACGCTAGTTAAGCTTGTTACGTTAGTCACGCTAGTTAAGCGTGTTATGCTAGTTCCGCTCGTTAAGCTTGGTACGTTAGTTACGTTAGTTACGCTTCTCACGTTAGTTACGCTAGTTAAGCTTGTTAACGTTAGTTCCGCTAGTTAAGCTTGTTACGCTAGTTGCGCTCGTTAAGCTTGTTACGCTAGTTCCACTAGTTAAGCTTGTTACGCTAGTTCCACTAGTTATGCTTGTTACGTTAGTTACGATAGTTAAGCTTGTTAACGTTAGTTCCGCTAGTTAAGCTTGTTACGTTAGTCACGCTAGTTAAGCGTGTTACGCTAGTTCCACTAGTTAAGCTTGTTACGTTAGCTCCGCTAGTTAAGCTTGTTACGTTAGTTACGATAGTTAAGCGTGTTACGTTAGCTCCACTAGTTAAGCTTGTTACGCTAGTTACGCTAGTTAAGCGTGTTACGTTAGCTCCGCTAGTTAAGCTTGTTACGTTAGTTACGCTAGTTAAGCGTGTTACGCCACTGTAACCATCGCTTCGCTCGAGCCGTAGCGGCGACGCACACAGGGCTAGGGTTGCTGCACGTTTGTCGGAGACCCGAGCCGTTGCGAGGGTCATCCAGAGCGGCCGGGCGCTGCTCATGTCTGGTCTCCTATCACTGTGGAAACGCATCGACAGAGACAAAGATCCCCCGTATAGCCTGAACAGAATGTCGGGGCAAGTGCTGTTAGCGAGCACCTATGAAGCCCTGAACGACACACGAGGGGGTGGGTGGCCAGCAGCCACGCCCGGCCGCCTTTGTCTCCCTAGTGCCGATGTTTAAACATCGCACCGGGTACTCATTTTAGGATGAGTCGACCTAAGTGAGGCCCAGGACCGTTTTAGATTATCTTCACTGGTGTTGGCCGTGAACGGAAATTTAACTCGGGCCGCCGGGTTCGTAGCGCAGAGCGCTGAACGCTGCACCACCACTCCCCAAAACACATTACACACGCATAGAAAATACATACACACACAAACACACATACGCTGCCAGGATCTTGGAATTGTGACCTGGGCCTCGACACCACTCAACCAGATTCGCCACAAGAGCAGAGCCCTCTTCTCAAGACACGGACTGAAGAAATAAAAATACATCAGTATGTGCACAAACATGGAAAAAAATGTTTTATTTTACTAGGTGAGGCCCACTGAGCCATATAATTGTTTTCATTAGCGGCCTGGCCATCGCAAATGACAGCTCAACGAAGTGGCTTATCATGGTGATTTATCGCAGACAAATAACACCCAGTCACTCACTCACCCAGTCACTCACTCAACCTCTCACTCACCCACCCAGTCACTCACCCAACCACTCAAACCCAGTCACTCACCCAGTCACTCACCCAGTCACTCACCCAGTCACTCATCCGCCCAGTCACTCACTCACCCAACCACTCACCCAACCAGTCACTCACCCAGTCACTCACTCACCCAACCACTCACTCACCCACCCAGTCACAACACCCAACCTCTCACTCACCCACCCAGTCACTCACCCAACCACTCAAACCCAGTCACTCACCCAGTAACTCACCCAGTCACTCACTCACCCAGTCACTCACTCACCCATCCAGTCACTGACTCACCCAGTCACTCACCCACCCACCACACTGCAGGTCATCTCCCATCTCTCTCTCTCTCTTCTCTCACACTGCTACCCCGCATCCCATCCCCCATCGACTATTTTCTGACGCTTTTACAATAGCCCGTGCTCAATGCAGTCAAACGCGTCAACTCCTCTTTGTCCATGACAACTTTAACGGTGCTGTCTGTTGCTGATCGCTTGCCGTTTTGGGGCTTCTGGGCCTCCTGTGCTCAGCGGCTGCCGTTTTTTATATTATATATAATATATCCACTGAGAGCTGCGCACTTTTAAATCATGCAGATCGCAAACGGATCTCTCTCGGCACTGCTTGTTATTGTGTTTAGTCTGTCCCTTACCCCGCGCACCTCTGATTAGAAACTGTTGGCTACGTACGGTGCAAAAGAAGTCCAACATATCGTACATAAGATCAGTGGGCGGTGGGTGAGGGTCCGGGTCGGTATAATCGCTACCAAGGACGAGGTGAGAGCAATCCGGTTCGTCGAGATTGACACGGGAACGTCCGACTTGGTCGCCTGCAGCAAACAGACGAACGAGCGAGACGAGATGCCCAAGACCGGTGAGATTAAAACACATCTGTCGGTCTTCCATGTGTGTGGAAGACCGCCGCCTTGTGTGTGTTCATCACTGTGACGTCACCTTGTGTGCGTTCATCACTGGGACGTCACCTTGTGTGTGTTCATCACTGTGACGTCACCTTGTGTGTGTTCATCACTGTGACGTCACCTTGTGTGTGTTCATCACTGGGACGTCACCTTGTGTGCGTTCATCACTGGGACGTCACCTTGTGTGTGTTCATCACTAGGACGTCACCTTGTGTGTGTTCATCACTGTGACGTCACCTTGTGTGTTCATCACTGGGACGTCACCTTGTGTGTGTTCATCACTGTGACGTCACTTGTGTGTGTTCATCACTGTGACGTCACCTTGTGTGTGTTCATCACTGTGACGCAGCCTTGTGTGTGTTCATCACAAGGACGTCACCTTGTGTGTGTTCATCACTGTGACGTCACCTTGTGTGTGTTCATCACTGTGACGTCACCTTGTGTGTGTTCATCACTGTGACGTCACCTTGTGTGTGTTCATCACTGGGACACAGCCTTGTGTGTGTTCATCACTGTGACGTCACCTTGTGTGTGTTCATCACTGTGACGTCACCTTGTGTGTGTTCATCACTAGGACGTCACCTTGTGTGTGTTCATCACTAGGACGTCACCTTGTGTGTGTTCATCACTGGGACGTCACCTTGTGTGTGTTCATCACTGTGACGTCACCTTGTGTGTGTTCATCACTGTGACGTCACCTTGTGTGTGTTCATCACTGGGACGTCACCTTGTGTGTGTTCATCACTGGGACGCAGCCTTGTGTGTGTTCATCACTGTGACGTCACCTTGTGTGTGTTCATCACTGTGACGCAGCCATGTGTGTGTTCATCACTGTGACGTCACATTGTGTGTGTTCATCACTGGGACGTCACCTTGTGTGTGTTCATCACTGTGACGTCACCTTGTGTGTGTTCATCACTGTGACGCAGCCTTGTGTGTGTTCATCACTGTGACGCCACCTTGTGTGTGTTCATCACTAGGACGTCACCTTGTGTGTGTTCATCACTGTGACGTCACCTTGTGTGTGTTCATCACTAGGACGTCACCCTGTGTGTGTTCATCACTGTGACGTCACCTTGTGTGTGTTCATCACTGGGACGTCACCTTGTGTGTGGTCATCATTGGGATGTCACCTTGTGTGTGTTCATCACTGTGACGTCACCTTGTGTGTGTTCATCACTGTGACGTCACCCTGTGTGTGTTCATCACTGGGACGCAGCCTTGTGTGTGTTCATCACTGTGACGCAGCCTTGTGTGTGTTCATCACTGGGACGTCACCTTGTGTCTGTTCATCACTGTGACGTCACCTTGCGTGTGTTCATCACTGGGACGCAGCCTTGTGTGTGTTCATCACTGTGACGTTACCTTGTGTGTGTTCATCACTGTGACGTCACCTTGTGTGTGTTCATCACTGTGACGCAGCCTTGCGTGTGTTCATCACTGGGACGTCACCTTGTGTGTGTTCATCACTGTGACGTCACCTTGTGTGTGTTCATCACTGTGACGCAGCCTTGTGTGTGTTCATCACTGGGACGTCACCTTGTGTGTGTTCATCACTGTGACGTCACCTTGTGTGTGTTCATCACTAGGACGCAGCCTTGTGTGTGTTCATCACTGGGACGTCACCTTGTGTGTGTTCATCACTGGGACGTCACCTTGTGTGTGTTCATCACTGTGACGTCACCTTGTGTGTGTTCATCACTGTGACGCAGCCTTGTGTGTGTTCATCACTGGGACGTCACCTTGTGTGTGTTCATCACTGTGACGTCACCTTGTGTGTGTTCATCACTTGGACGCAGCCTTGTGTGTGTTCATCACTGTGACGTCACCTTGTGTGTGTTCATCACTATTACGTCACCTTGTGTGTGTTCATCACTGGGACGCAGCCTTGTGTGTGTTCATCACTGTGACGTCACCTTGTGTGTGTTCATCACTAGGACGTCACCTTGTGTGTGTTCATCACTAGGACGTCACCTTGTGTGTGCTCATCACTGTGACGTCACTTTGTGTGTGTTCATCACTGTGACGTCACCTTGTGTGTGTTCATCACTGGGACGCGAGACAGCGACAGACGCGACCGAAGCAAACATTTTTGTAACTTCTTCTGAGCCGACGCGAAATGTTTTCAAGATTTTAGTTTTTTTCAGTTTCATTCGTCAACCCAGCGCAGGCGATGAGATGAAATCTCGCGGGCGAAGTGGGAATTTCTGGTCGGTTTATAAGGCAGCGGTGAATAGCCGAATAGTTCCATAGCAATCATAAAAGAGAAAGAGGGGGGGGGGGGGAGATTAACAGTTTAACATTCCAGTTTACCGTATTTCCTTGCATAGACGGGACGGCGAGTTGTTATTAAACGCAGGCCCTGAATGGGGCTCTCACATCCATGAGAAAAATAAACGTTGAGGTATTTATACACGCGGGCCCCCCCCCATCACCACACCCCCATCCGCCCTCCCAAAAAAAAAAGATCCTTCTCTGGTCACTTCCCGTTTAAAACAATAAAACCACACACACACACGGGGAAGTGAGGAATTGGGGAGCGGGCGGCATGGCCGCATGGACACACATCACATCACGGGTCAGTTCAACACGTAGCAGTCGG